TATAAAAGGTAATTAATTTATATCTGGAAGATCGAAGTTGTCCTATCTTTCCTCAAACCAAATTTGACCCTTCAGTCCATAAAGTTGTAGTGGACCGTTGACAATAGTTCTTGCCAGAGGGATTCCTTCTTGGAAGTCTCAGAGGAAGAAATGAAACTTTATTAGCAACAAAAATCTCATTGCTTAGCTGGCTCAGAGACTAAGAGTACAGGCAGCGTGCTCATAAAATTGAGTTTGACTTTGATTGTCTGTGAATTGTATAATGGAGGAAGAGTGGTGGGGTTAGAAGACTTGAGAGACTGTAGACATTTGGAGGGAGATATGGCAATAACTATCTTCATATAGAGACTAGATTATCAGTGGGAAGTTTTCACAAAATAACCACTATAGAGAAAGCTGCTGGCATTTTCTTAGAGACAAGAGAGAAAGGTGATGGAAGGAAAATCAGGCTTGGAAGACTGAAGTTTGAAGTTTAAGCTTTTGTCACACACTCATTAAATAGTGTTTCAGTCACTTATATCCTAATCCCTGTCTCTTTATGAGAGGGAGAGTCGAACTATATGCAGGCCCATTTGCCTATAACATTCCGTTCTTTCCAGATGTTTCAGAATTTTACAGCATTTACAAGGTGGGTAATACAACAGACAGATAGAGAACACAGATGCTGCTGTCAGAGTCTTTAGAAGCAAATTCTGGCTACACTACTTATTGTGTTTACTGTGTGACCTTGGGTAAGTCACTTCACAATTCTGTGCCTGAATTTTCTTGCTGAAGGTATCTACCTTCTATGAATGCATGTTTTAAAAAAATTAACATATTTAACACACTGAAAAATATTTCACAGAACATGAAAATTGCAATATAAGTGTTGGTTCAAATGAAATAATATAACAGAAATTGTCTATATTAAACTAGGAAAGGGTAGATTTGAAAGAATTTTGCAAGTACATAGAGAATTAGGCTTTCAGCTTTGACGCTATCGTGTGCTGAGCAGAAAGTCAGAAATCTTCAAAATGTGTTCAGCTGCTTGAACTGTCATCACCATTATTCTCCTTCTCTTTAACTATGTTGTATCCATGGCATTGGTGTTAATTTATTAATTTAGGCAGTGAGGTGTAAGGTAGAGTCCCCAGGTCCCCTTCTTTCATGGGAATTCCTCTTTTCAGAAGCTCCTTTCAGTGTATGCATGGCCAAAGGAGGAGGCCTTCATGGTAAATTACGTTAGAAGGCAACCAACATCTATTTCTCCCCATCCCCATTTCCCCCAAGCAAGATGCTCCGCATTTTACACGGCTGCCTCCTTGTACACATGTGCCATAGATTGTTCGGCTTCAAGTTCACAGTTTGCTGCCCTTCATCCCATCATCCTCCCTTCCTACCTGCCATTACCATTCCTGGAAAGTTTCTGCTGCTTCCTGGGCTGCTCAGGGCCATGGGAACCGGGCATCTGGTTGCTGCTGGGGAAGATTAAAGTCTGCTTTTGACTTGGACACTTTGCCAACCTGTTGTGGGAAGGAGACCACATGTGTGAGCACTCCCATGTGTACCAGGAAGAGACTTCATTTAATGTTGGACTTTCCTTGAGTCAGTGCGCAACGCAGAGCCTGTAAGAATCTACCATTTCCCTCCACTTGGATTTTAAACACACATCTTCCTTATAGAGGAGAGGAGTAGAGGAAAGTAGCTTCTATTCCTGGATTTGAGGAATTTACAAATTTTCTTATACTCCATATTCATAATACATTAAATGACTCATGGTTTGATAGAGTGTGTGCTTCTGACTGCTCAAGGATAATTTGAAGGATAGATTATGGATGATTTTCTGTAATTATGCAGTCATTTTGCTGATGTTTTTGTGTTCATTATTTCCATAGACAATTGCTTGAAACATTAGGAAGTAAGAGATGGAGCCCTGAGTTACCTGTGATGAGGATTTCTCATACCTTTGCTAAGATGGTCAAGAACAACTTCTTGTGTGCAAAACACACACACATACACTGATGTGGTGTCAGTATAGGTAAAAGACAAATTAGATTTCGGTTAAAGATTAAGTGCTCGGTGTCTTAACATTTATCTGCCTCTTGAGCTCTTCCTGTGGGGCCTGTGGCCATGGTCATGGTCAATAATAGGTTGTTATATTTTGTCGTCAGTCAGACCACAGTGATGTTGATAAGTTGAATGTGGAGATAACTAAAGGGAAGTCAGCAAGTTTTGTTGGGCTAAAGACATGACCCTGAAGTAAAACACCTGTGTTTGTATGGAGGCCCAAGACATAGTAGCTATTCGATATCTGCAAGTTACTGCTTCTCTCAGTTTCCCCATGTGTTAAATATGGTTCCTGGAGTACTTATTCTTTCAGATTTTTGTGGGGGGATAAGTGGGTTCCTATTTTCCAAACATTCACAATGGTGCCCAGCATATAGTATATGTCATAAAATTTTGTGCTAAGTAGACCAGAGGTTTCCTGTGAAGCAGGAGAGGCTGAGTTATGGTCAGCTTCCTTACATATGCAGAGCACAAACATACTGTGGAATGTTGTTGGTCTATCTCCTGTTCTTCACTTCCTTTTTTCTTCAGTCTAAGGTTTGTTGACAGGCTGTTTATTCACTTGCCTGCCAAGGATTTAAACAAGGTAAAGCTAAACTCTGCATAAGTTTAAAGTCTCTGTTACAAATATAGAAAGCATGGAATAGCTACCAGAAGATGGCCAACAACACAAAACATCTGCCATATCCTCGAAAATTTCTAAATCCTATAGAGACATATCCAAATATTGCCCCACTTGGGGACACATTATCACTAGATGGGCAGGGTACTGGTTTCTATCTGTGAAAATACTTCCCGTAGGAACTTGAGGGAAAAGACCTGAAATGTACTTCTAAGAACCTTGAGGAACTCAGTCAAAGGAAAGGACATATAAAATCCTTTGACAATGAGATAAGACTAAAGGGAATGGGAAATCAGCTTCCTGGAAAAAAAATAATCTCTTTGGAACCAAAATGGTTGCCAGTAAAAGTCTGCAATGTTTTCACCTTGCATGTGGAATTTGTCCAGTCAAGATATGCAAGCAATAAGGGTCAAGATATGCAAGCAATAAGGGTGGCTATCTCAATAAGTATGGAGTTATTGAGGGCAATAAAGGTTTTATGAGAGGGTTGCTGCAATTATTATTTGTTTTAAATCTCTCTTTAACATGATGTTAGAGACAATGTATTTTATTAGGCATTTTAAAGTATTAGTGTTTATACAGACAGAATTATTGCTTGGCTGAGAGTGCATCTTGAAATAAAGATGCACTCTCATATTTTTAAAAAGCCACAAAATATTTCACTTTTAAAAATTATTCAACATTAATTGTTTTTTTATTTTTTGCCATACAAAACTGTCATAGTACCAAATTTTCTGAACTTCTTTCTACTCTATTGTTTGGTAACCCTGCAGAATATGACTTAATCTCTTATTTACAGTAACGAAAAGAGCATCTTTACCTGGTAACTGTCTTTTATGAAAGCTTAAATATTTTAGCAAATGTAAATAAAATGGACTAATTTAACAAATACATATGAAGCTACTGTTTGGAGGAAATAGCATTAATATTTGTCCTTTTGGTTTAAAATGTTTAGTTTTTACATACAAAGCAAAAAAATTATTTAGGCATATAATATGATATGATTTCATGTGTATTCCTGAATTTTAGGTTTTTATTTTCTTATACTACATGTGACTGAGCAGTAAATAATATATAGTATTAATTTTGGCTTTTTAAAATTAAAAAACATAAATTAATTTTAACAGTTAGAATTTAACTTTCTACACCTGACATTTTGTAGTCAACATTATACTTTTGAAATCTGAGTATGTTGCCATATGGCCATGTTGTCATAGCTTATTTGATTTAACTTCTGTTTAGTAATTCATTATATTTCATATCCATTATACAGTAATTCTCCTACATAAGAACCTTCAAATCCTAATGTGCTTTTTAAATGCATCATTTCTCTCCACTGGGTGATAGTATGGCTTGATAAATACACACAGTACTATATAGCCAATTGTGGTAGGTGGGTACCTAGGCTAGCTTTGTTGGACTTACAACAAACTGGACTTATGAACACACTTTCAGAAGAAAACTTATGCTTATGTTGGGAACGGACTGCATTTTATTAGTCCACTTATGCCAATTGGTACACTTATCTCTCTGTGAATATTTAGAATATTTAGGAATACGTAGGATAATTTTCTTCCTAATTTTTCATTCTGAATTGTGTTTTTTTCCCTCTGAAGTCAAAAGATTATTCTAGGGTGATTCTGTTAAATTCTCAACTCCATCACACCATCTGTGACTTCACACTATCTGACAGAAAGCTGTTGATCTCACATCATAAACTTCAATGACGTCTAACTTCATATTCAGGGAATTTGAGTCACCTTCGGTTTCCATCTGCTTGGACTTTGAGAACATTTGTATCAATAGAGCTACATATGCTCAAAACTTGCTGGACATGCTAGTTCAGAATTATGTTAACTGCTACTCTTTGCTGGCTCCCAATATCTGAGAGCTTCCTGAGAGCTTGTAAAGGATTGGAAAACTGACATAAAGCCATCAACAAATTGTAGAAGGAAATCCCATCCACATGTCATCCGTGTTGGACTTGTGATCGTACCGTGATTTTGCTTATGACAAGGTTAAGAAGGTAAATAGTTTGTCCACAACTCATGTGTTAGCATGGACTCAATGTGAGTTAAATGATGGCTAAGGGCCATGAGAACTGGACATCTGGTAGGAAGGGCAAAGCCTGACTTGAGCTTGGACAGTTTACCAGTCCGTGTGTGGGAGTGTGATGTCATCTCTGTGACCTTTCTCAGTGTGTGCTAGGAAGTAGGCACTCTCGATACCAGAATCTCTTAGTATCAGTGCCCTCTGTACACCCTCTGACCCTTACTCCTTTCCCCACCCCTTGTTTAAATGACGTGTTTCTTCTCTCAGACCCGGTTATAAAGCTCCTACCATTGCCTGGTCCGACAAGCCACCTCAGACCGAGTCAGCAGGTAAGTGGGCATTATAGGAGGAGAGCATGTCTAACATGTCTTTTTAAATTGGGGAAAAATACCTGTGTGAGTAGCTGTCCAAAGTTCCCAATATTCATGGTGCTTAAGCAGGACGGAAGCTGATTTGCAGTTACTCTGTCTGTATAATCCCCAAACCAAAACAGAAATATTTGAGGATAGATATAGCTGTCTTAAGGGCTGTACTACCCTCAGAAATTCAGGGAGGAGGCTATGAGAATGGTAATAGCTCACAACTTCTCAGAACTCGAACCCTCTACTCTCTTACAGAGACTGTTGATTTGTTCCTTCAGCATGTCGCTGTCGCTCAGCATGGATCTGTCCAATTCATGCTTGATGCTGATCTCCTGCCTGATGTTTCTGTCTCTGAGCCAAGGTGAGATTTTTTTTTTCTTCCAAACCAACCACAACTCCAAGCCTGAAGCCTTCAACCCATCCTCACACACATGACTCCACCTGAGAAAAACAGAGTCAGTATCAATGGTGATTTGTGTTGTTTAGTGATTCTTATGGCCAATGTCATCTAATCCAAATATATCCGTACTCCATTAATAAATTAAAGAAAAAAATTTAAATGACCCTTTATCACTGACCACTATAGCTGGCAGAATGTCATCTAATTAAATATACACAAGATGGCAGGTTGGGGGTTGCTGATGTGATGAGAGTCATTAAGGGGATTGAGAACTGAGGAGAGGCTTGTGTGTCAGGAAATCAAGACAGGCTGAGAATGGTAAAATCCTGAATCTTTAAAGATAGAAGCCACTAGAAGAAACATGGGGATATAGTTCTTTAGTCTCTCCATTGTGTAGTCTTGCCTTGAGCAAAGGAAGTCAGAGAGAAAAAGATACAAGTTGTAAAAGGGAAAAAGTAAGTAGACATTCCATGACCTACTGCATCCTTATGTTCCATGAAGGCAACTCAGAAACTCCTAGTTCATCGTCAGCCTTTACTCTTCCCTGGGACTCTCCTTTCATTGCTTCTTCTTCCCCAGGCCGGGAGGTCCAGACAGACTTGCCCAATGCTCGGATCAGCTGCCCCGAAGGCACCAATGCTTACGGCTCCTACTGCTACTACTTTATTGAAGACCAGGAGACCTGGGTTGACGCAGATGTGAGTGAGAAGAACAGTGGGGGTCAAAGGGGAGGTTCATAAAGGTAGAGGCAGCTGACACTCACCTGTGTGCTCAGTGGCTGCAATGAGAGAAGACTCTCCCTGTCCCTTTAGCGACTCAAAACTTTCCAGTCTACCTTGCCCTGTCATTTGACACATTCCCAGCACAGAGATGCTGGAGGTCAATGATGGCATCATCAGGAACATTTCTGTGCTGTCCTTTTTCTGCCACATCCATTGGGAGGACCCAGGAGATCCCAGAAAACACCCTCCTCCACTGAGTGCCCCGTTTTATTCGCCAACAGCTCTACTGCCAGAACATGAATTCAGGCTACCTGGTGTCTGTGCTCACTCAGGCTGAGGGTGCCTTCGTGGCCTCGCTGATTAAAGAGAGCAGCACTGATGACTCCAATGTCTGGATTGGCCTCTATGACCCCAAAAAGGTCAGTGTGTAGCCATTTTATTCTCCTACAGATCAAGATTGAGAAAGAAAGAATGGCAGTCTCAAGATAAAGCACTTTAATCTTTTTTTATTTTAGAAAAATCAAATTTTGTATGGATCTTACAAATTGAGAAGGAGTTGTAGTAAGATTCGCACTAAGTGGTTAGAGAGATGAACTGAAGGCTACATTTCCTGAGTGTCCAGGGCTTTCAGCAATAAACTCATTCTGTCTACATCTAGCAAAGAATCTGTATATACCATCTCAACCTCTTTTGTTACTTTCTATATTGTAAGAGAGCCCTCTAAAGACTATATGAAGAAAAGAGACTAAAGATAATTTGCGGCTGGCATTTGAAAGTCTGCTGTTTAATAAAGAATATATCAACAACCAAGGAACAACCAATGATATGCTGTTTGTAAAGGTTATGGGCCTTAGGAATTATAATTCAATAATGAGGATTTATGTTTCTCTGTACCAAATCCACATCAGTTAATACTTGATGGAACAGTGGGAAGGAGTTGTACATTCTAGGAAAGAGGTTTAGAGCAAAAGTAGAGAAAATGATATATTCATGGAGAGTTTATTCTTGCCCTGCATTTGTCCTATTCCTGAATGTACACTTAGGCCTGGTGTTTCTATCCCTTTCTGAGTGGCAATTGCCCCTGTTCTGGCCCTTTCTCATTTAGAACCGCCGCTGGCACTGGAGCAGTGGGTCTCTAGTCTCCTACAAATCCTGGGTCACTGGAGCCCCAAGTAGCTCCTGTCCTGGTTACTGTGCGAGCCTGACTTCAAGCTCAGGTGAGAGGCAGGGAATTCACCCATCCTCCAGGAATGGACCTGGTGACTGAGATAGGTGGGGGCCCTCATCCAGAAAATGGAAATGTGCTTCCTCTTGTCTCTTATCCTAAATGCTAAAGCTAGGAGGGCTTTACTCCTGATGGCTGCAGTCTGACTCTTCTCATTGGCTTGTAGGATTCAAGAAATGGAAGGATGAGTCTTGTGAAGAAAAGTTATCCTTTGTCTGCAAGTTCAAAAACTAAGGTCCACAGAAAAGGACGTCTAGAACTGTCCCTGTAATTCCCATGGAGTCAGAAATAAATCTGGGCTCCACTCCATTGCAATCCAGACGCTTTCTTCTCCTGTGAGTTTGCATCACTTACTTTCAATGCCTTCATCCGCCCTAGTTTTTACAACCCTACTCAAAGAAAATAAATACTTTTTCTTCCGTTGTGTAGTCTATTGTGACAACTCTTTCCACAACCAATGCCTGGGTGATTGAGATGGAAGTGATTATATCACTCTGGAGTTTTCTTTGGGTCATCCGCTTTTTGTAATCCCATCCACATGTCATCCGCGTTGGACTTGTGATCATACCGCGATTTTGCTTGTGACAAGGTTAAGAAGATAAATAGTTTGTCCACAACTCATACTAACACATGGACTCAATGTGAGTTAAAGAAACAATACAATTGTTATCCATAGATGGCTATAATATTTGATACTCTGGAGGGATGCACATACATAGGGTCTGGGGAGTCTGCATCTAGTCTCAATTACACAAGTTGAATGCATAACTGAAGTGACAGTTTATGGAGATTGTCACATCTAGAGCACTAGATGCGTTTTGGAAGTTGAATACCTAGATACTTGGAGGCCAATAACACTTGTTTAATGACATTCATTGAATGACTAAATAAATGATAAATAAGATAAAATATGCAGGTATATTTAATTACATCATTAAAGATCTTTTCTCCAAACAGTCAAATGCTAAAAGTACTGGGTGTTCAGACATTCAAAATATTTTACAGGGACACAATTCAGCTTCTAACACCAAAAATATCGATCATTCAATGTGGTTTGATAAAATAATTAAATGATAAGCTACATAGTTTCATTCTGGATTAAAACAACAATAACAACAAGGAAATCCCACTATATGCTATCTATAGAAGATGTGATTTCATTGCAAAGACACAACTAATGTATAACTAAAAGAACAGAAAAAGACATTTCATACAAATAGGAACCATAAAAACAGTGATGCATGTGCCCTTACATCAGTCATATCAGACTATAAAGCCAATGAAAATTAACTAGAGTATAAGAGGGACATTTTATAATGTTAAAGTGATTAATCCTTCAGAAATTAATTATGGACATACCTGTACACATAATCACGGAGCCCCAAATTACGTCTTGAATAAAATGGAGAAATAGATAATCCAGCAATCAATCTTGGAAACTTCAACATACTACTTTTAATAATTGTGAAGGTAGAACATATTCTCATTCAACTAGATTGAACAGACATCTATACGATGTTTCACTTTCATATCAGCAACATGCACATTCTTCTCAATCACACAAGGAACATTCTCTAGGATAAACCATATTCTAGGAATGAACAATTTAAAATGACTTCTAGAAAATCGTTTCATTAACATTATATCAAAATGAATAAGATTTGAAGGAATGTTTTCTGAAAGTGCAAATCTGGTACACTGGAAAGAACAAAGCATTGCTAAATGAAGTAGAGAAGACTTAAATAAATGGAAAGTACCTCATGTTCTTAGGTCAGAGTCCTAACAGTAAGGTAGAAATACTCCCCAAAATGATCTATAGATTTATCACAATCCCCATAACAATCTCTGCTGTCGCTTTTGCAGAATTTGTGAAGTTGATGCTAACATTCATAGAGGAAATCAGAATAGCCAAAATGATATTGTTCCAGAGAGACAAAACAATTTTGATACAGAAGTACTATATTGGAAGACTTACACTTCTGGATTGTACAACTTACTACAAAGTTAAAGTAATAAACGTTGTGTGGAACTGGCATAAAAGATGTGTATAAAATTGAGATTCCAGAATTAATTTCTTTCAGCCACAGTTTAGCTTTTGTTGAACAAGTGAAGTGTATCATTGAAATTCAATTGGAAAAAAATATTCTTCAGTTAACGGCACAGAACAAGCAAATAGCTATGCTCTAATTAATGAATTTGATTCTATTCTTACAATGAGCATGGAAATTGATTCAATATAGATTCTAGACATATTTAAGAGATAAAACTATCAAATGCTTAAAAGAAAATAGATGAGTAATTCTCGGTGAATTTAAGTCAGATCTCCTATGCTATGACATGGTTAGACCTTGTTTTTGTTATTGTGGTTGCTGTATTAATTCAGACTGATGCACTCCACCTTTTGATTGAATTTTTAATTAAATTATTTAATGGCATTATTGATACAGAAGGAGTTATGGTCTGAATTAAGTCTCTGCAAAATTAGTTTGTTAAAGTCCTAAGGCTCAGTACTTCAGAATTTGACTGTATTTGAAGACAGGATATTTAAAGAGATAACTAAGTATACCTGCATATTTCAACTAATTTATCACTTATGCATATATATACAAATGTATGCATGTACTTATCCATTTATTTAAGGAGAGCGATTTAACAACTGTTGCTGGTTTCCAAGCTTCTACTCATTTCACTACTGATACATTTGGCACGATAGATTTGACAATTTTCCTTAAATTATCATTTCAGTCATGGCCTCAACTTTCACATGGAGCACAGATGTGGCCTTCTCAGACTACAAATACATGAATCTCTTCAGAATATCAAATATTCTAACCATCTGTGGATTAGTAATCATTTCTATAACTTAAACTGAGTCCACGTGAATACAATCATACCTCATTTTATTGTGCCTCATTATATTTCACTTTGTGGAGACTAGTTTTTTTTTTTTTTTAACAAATTAAAGTTTAGTGGCAACCTGGCATCAAGCAATTCTATCAGTGCCATTTATCCAATGATATGTGTTCACTTTACAGCTGTGTATCATATATTAGTAAATTTGCAACATTTATTTATATTTTTAAATTTTTATTTTAAAGTTGTGGGTTTAAATTCAGGGTTAGGTATACAAATATTCATTCTGCAGGTACCCTTGTTGATGAGGTGTGTCCCCCCTTCCCCAGGCAGATACCAACTACTGTCAATCCCATCTCCCTGCCTCCCTGCCTGCAGTTTCCTGCTACTGTCAATTCTTTTCTTATAGTATTATTGTAGCTGTTCAAGGTCCACTTATGAATGAGAACATGTGATACTCAGATCTTTGTTTCTGTGAAAGATCACTCTAATTCCATCCAGGTTGCTGCGTAGTTCATGACTTTGTTCTTCTTTATGGTGGCATACTATTCCATTGCATATATGTACCAGCTTTTTTTATCCAGTCCTCTTTTAATGGGCAGCATGATTGGTTCCATGTTCTTGCTATTGTGAACAATGCTGTGATAAACATACATGTGCAGGTATCTTTTTTATAGAGTGATTTGAGTTCTTCCGGGTATATTCCCAGTAGGGGGACTGGAGGGTCATATGGAAGGTCGATATTTAGAACTTTTAGGAATCGCCACACTGATTTCCACAGAGGTCGCACTAGTCTACACTCCCACAAACAGTGTAGAAGTGTTCCCTTTTCACCACATCCTCTCCAGTATCTGTTATTTTTTGAGTTATTAATGGTAGTCATTCTGACCAGAGTTATGTGGTATCTCGGTGTAGTTTTAATTTGCATCTCCTTGATGACTAGTGAGGCTGAACGTTGTTTCATATGTATCTGTTGGCTGCTTGTATGTCTTATTTTGAGAAGTGTCTTTTCATATTGTTTGCCCACTTTGTAGTGGGATTGTTTGTTTTCTTCTTCTTTTTTTGAGTTGTTGTCTCACTCTGTCGCCCAGACTGGAGGGGAGTGGCATGCTCCTGGCCACTGCAGCCTTGACCTGCTGGACTCTGGCAACTCTTCTACCTCAGCCTTCCAAGTCGCTGGAACTACAGGTGCGCATTATCCCACCCGGCTAATTTTTGATTTATTGGAGAGATGAGGTCTCGCCAAGTTGCCCAGGTAGGTCTCAAACTCATGGACTCAGGCAATCCATTCACCTTGGCCTCCCAAAGTGCTGGGATTACAGGCTGAGCCACCGAGCCCAGCCTGTTTTTTTCTTTTCAGCACATTTGAGTTCCTTGTAGATCCTTGATGCTAGGCCTTTGTCAGACATAGAGTTGGCAGATATTTTTCCCAGTCTGTGGGCTGTCTCCTTGCTCTCTTGAGGGTTTCTTTGGCTTTACAGAAGTTTCTCAGTTTGATAAGATCCCACTTGTCTATCTTATCTCTTATGGCATGGTCACTTGGGGTTTTGATCAGGAATTGGTTGCCAGTTTCAACTTCCATAAGTGTGTCTCCTGAATTTTCTAAGGTTCTTATAGTTTGAGGTTTTACATTTAGGTCTCTGGTCCATTTAGAGTTAATTTTTGCATATGGGGATAGGTAGGGGTCCCGCTTCAATCTTCTGCATGTGATCAGCCAGTTTTCCCAGCACCGTTTACTGAATAGGTTCTCCTCTCCCCAGTAGTGGGAGGTGGAGGCTTTGTTGAAGATGAGTTGGTTGAGAAATTGAGGTTTTGCTTCTGGAATCTCAATTCTGTTCCATTGGTCTACATAATTTAAAACTATTATTGTTATTATAATAGCTATTGTGGTGATCTATGATCAGTGATCTTTGATGTTACTATTATAATTATCTTGGGTTACAATGAAATTTACAAAGATATTGACTCTAACACTATTATAGCAATGAAACATACAATGCTGAACTTAATGGATAAATGTTGTGTGTGTCCTGACAGCTCTACTGTTCCCCGATCTCTGCCCCTTTCCTCAGGCTTTCTTATTAACGGGAACACAGCAATACTGGGTTAGGTCAATTAATAACCCTCCAACGACCTATAATTGTTCAAGTGAAAGGAAGTGTTGTACATCTATCAAGTAAAGTAAGAACTAGAAGCGATAAAGCTTAGTGAGGAAGGCATGTTGAGAGCCAATATAAGTTCAAAGGCTAGGGCTCCTTTACTAAACAGTTAGCCAAGTTGTAGATGCAAAGGAAAAGTTCTTGAATTAAGTGAAAAGTGCTATTTCAGTGAACATGTGAATGATAAAGCAAAACGGTCTTATTGCTGATATGGAGAAAGTTGTATTGGGTTAGATGGAAGATCAAACCAGCCACAATATTCCCTTAAGCCAAAGCCTAATCTAGAGCAAGGCTCTAACTTTCTTTAATTCTGTGAAGGCTGAGAAAGGTGAGGAAGATATACAAGAAAAATTTGAAGCTAACAGAGGTTGGTTCATAAGGTTTAAGGAAAGAAACCATCTCCATAACATAAAAGTGCAAGATGAAACAGCGAGGACTGATAAAACAGCTGCAGCAATTTAAGAAGAGCTAGCTAAGATTGTCTCATTGTTTACTGAATTTTTTAAGCCTATTTTTGAGGTCTACTTACTGGAACACAAATATTTTTAAAAATTTACTGTTTATTTATAATGCACCTGGTCCTCCAGGAGCTGTAGTGGCAATGTACAAAGAAGAATAATGCTGTTATGTCTGCTACCACAACATCTATTTTGCAGCCCATGGTTTAAGATGTCATTATGATTGTTGTGTCAAAGCTTTTAAGAAATGTATTTTGTAAGACTATAGCTGCCATAGATAGCGACTCCTTTGGTGAATCTGGGCATTGCAAATTGAAACCTTCTGGAAAGGACTCATCATTCTAGAGACCAGTAAGAACACTTGTTATTCATGGGAAAATGTCAAAATATCAGCATTCACAGGAGTTCAGAAGAAGTTGATTCCAATCCCACGGAATGATTTTGGGGGGTTCAAGATTTCAATGAAAGTAACTATGAATGTAGTAGATATATCAGAAGAACTAGAATTAAAAGTGGAGCCTGAACCGGGCTTGGTGGCTCAACCTGTAATCCCATGCCTTTGGGAGGCTGAGGTGAGTGGATTGCCTGAGCCCGCGGGTTCGAGACCCGCCTGGGCAGCAAGACCTCATCTCGACAATAAATCAAAAAATCAGTCAGGCATAGTAGCGCATGCTTGTAATTCCGGCCACTCGGAAGGCTGAGGCGGAAGGATCGCCGGAGCCCAGCAGGTC